TCAAATATGTATATGTAACCCAAGAAAAAACAGTAATGGAGGAATAGAGGAACAAAGAAGCAAAAGATAAGTTAAAAATAAATAATGTACAAATTATATCTTACCAGTAATTACATCAAAAGTCAATTAAGTAATTAAGTAAAACTCCAATGAAAAGGAAGACTTTGGAAGAATGGATTTTATAAAAATGATCCAATGATATTTCGTCCACAAGATTCAAAGACACAATAGGTTGACAGTAAAAAGACAAAAATGAGATAAATTATACAAACAGTAACTGGGAGCTGTTATCGATATTTTAAAAAATAGACTGTAAAACAAAAACTGATATAAAAGCAAAATATACATATATATTTTATAATGAAAAAAGGGTCAATTATTCAGGAAGATATAACAAGTATAAATACATTTGAACCCCAGGAAAAAGTCTCAAAGTACACACAGCAAAAACTAAGAAAACTGAAGGACTAATTGACAATTCAGTGATAAACACTGAAGATTTCAATGTTGCACTTCCAACAATGAATAGAACAATTAGGCAGGAGATCATGAAGAAAACAGAAGACTTAAACAGCACTAGGTACCATGTATAACCATAATCTATAGAATATGCAATCACAGCAGAATATATTAAGACATTCTTGTCAGGTACTCATGAGTGCCTTGATAAACCATATGCTAGGCTATAAAACATACCTCGATAAATTTAAAAGGTATTAAATAGTTCATCATCTCTTCTGCAAACACAACATAATTAAAAACAAAAATCAATAACAGAATAATTAGAAAACTTAAACATGTATGAAAATTAAAGAACACACTTCTAAATAACCAATAGGTAAAACACACACACACGAAAAAGTACAACATAATTTACATGAGTGAAAGTAAAAACACAACACAACAAACCTTAGCCAGTCATAGTGGCCCATGCCTATAATTTCAGTTACTCAGAGGCTGAAACAGAAGAAACAATTGAGCCCAGGAGTTCAAGGTCAGGCTGAGCAACATAGTGAGGCCCTCCCTCTAATAAAATGAACAAATGTTTGGGGATGCAGCTAAAGCATTCTGTAAAGGGAAATTTATGTTTGTAAATGTCAGTATAAAACAAGAAGAATTTCAAATCAATAACCTAACCTTCAATCTAAAGAAACTAGAAAAAGTAAAAATGCAAGCTAAACGCAAAGCAATGAGAAAGAAGGAAATAACAGCATTAAGAGTGGAAATTAATGAATAGACAGTAGAAAAAAAATAAAGAAAACCAATAAAACCAAAAGTTTAACAAAATTGCCACACTTTTAGCTAGATGAAACAAGATGAAATGAGAGAAAATGCAAATTACTAAATCAGGAATGAAAAAAGCAGCATTGTTACTGACTTCAGTGAAATTAAAAAAAAAAAAAAATTAAGAGGGAATACTATGAACTATTGTGCTCTTGCAAATTAGATAACCTAGACTAAAAGGATAAATTTTTAGATAAACACAAACTACCAAAACTGACTCAAGAATAGATAAAAAATCTGGAAAGGTCTATAACAAGTAAAGAGATTGAAACGGGAATTAGGAAAACTACCCACGGTGAAAAGTTTGGACCCTACCTCACTTCACTTGCTTCACTGATGCACTCTATGAAACATTTAATTAATACCAGTTTTTAACAAACTCTTGCAAAAAGTAGAAAAGGAAGGAAAACTTTGAACTTATTCTATGTATTACCTTGATACCAAAACCAGACAACTATCACAAGAGAAAAAAAAAAAAAAACTATCCATTAACATCTCTAATAAATACACACATAAAAATCCTCAACAAAATACTAACAAACCAAATGCAGACCCATATTTAATGACTTACACTCCATTGCCTAGTGGTTACTACACTAGGAATGCAAGGTTGATATAACATTCAAAAATCAATCAATATAACACATCATATCAATAAAGGACAAAAACTACATGAGCATTTTCATAGAAGTAGAAAAGTATTTGACAAATCTATCATCCTTACATGATAAAAGCTTTCAAGAAATAAGAATAGAAGGGAACTCCTGAACCTGATGAAAAGCATCTACCAAATAGAAGAGAACTTCCTAAACTTGATTATCCACAGCTAATATCACACTTAAGCAGGAAAGATGCTTTCCATCTTAGATCAGAAATAAGACAAGGATGTCTGCTCTCACCTTTGTATTCAACATTGTCCTGTAGATTCTAGCCAAGACAATTAGGCAAGGAAAGCAAGTAAGTATTCAGATTGGAAAGAGGTAAAATCATGACTACTCACAGATAGCATGCTCTTGTATATAGAGACTCCTGAGAACTTCACACAAAAATTAGAACTAATAATTCCAGCAAGATTGCAGAATTCGAAGTCAATATCCAAAATCAATTGGATGTCTATACATTAGTAATGAAAAATATAAAAATGAAATGAAAATAATTTTATTTATAATAGCACAAAAAGCAATTACTTATAAATAAATTTAACAAAAGTTAAATAATTGTACACTGAAGACTACAAAATTTTGTTGAAAAAATTATAGAAAATCTAAATAAATGAAAAGAACTGGAAGACAATATTGTTAAGATGGCAATACTCTCCAATTTGGTACACAGATTCAATGCAATGTCTACCAAAAAAATCAATTACTTTTTTCTAAAAAAATTGACAAGCTGATCCTAAAATATATATGAGAATGTAATAGCTCCAGAATAGCCAAAGTAACATTTAAAAAGAATATCAAAGTTGGAAGATTCATACTTCCTGATAACCAGATTTATTACAGAACTATAATAATGCAGTGTGTACTAACATAAGAACAGACAAATGAATAGAATTGAGCATCCAGAAATATAGCTTACATTTATGATCATTTGATTTTAGATTTGAATTCCAAAAATATTTAATGGGGAAATAACAGTCTTTCAAAAATTGTGTGAAAATAGTCTTTTCACAATGACCTTTTCAACCCAATTATGTGTTGAAAAGAAGAGTCTTTTCAATGTTCTTCAGGCAAAGAATTTATTTGGACCTTCTACTTCACATAGTAGGCAAAAGTGAACCTCAAGTGGATTTAAACCTAAGTGTAAAAGCCAAAATTACAAAACTTTTAGAAGAGAGAACATAGGAGAAACTTTTCACAAAGTTTTGTTAGGCAACGATTGCTTAGACATAACATCAAAAACATTTAGAAAACTGAACTTTATCAAAATTTTAAATTAGTGTATTAAAGGACACATAAATGAAAAAACAATATACACAGTAGAAGAATATGCTTAAAAATTATATATTTGATATATTACTTTTACTCAGAATATATTAAGATTTATTACAACTCAACAATGAAAGAACAAGTTAAAAAATAGGCAAAAGGTTGGAGTACATATTTCTCCCAAAAAGAAAGACAAAAGACTGACGAGTACATAAAACAATGCTCAACATCATTATTCATTAGGTAAATGTAAATCAAAACCTCAATGAGATACTACCTCACACCTAATAGAATAATAAAACTTAAAAAAATAAGACAATATCGGCCGGGTGTGGTGGCTCATGCCTGTAATCTCAGCACTTTGGTAGGCCAAAGCGGCTGGATCACCTGAGGTTAGGAGCTTGAGACCAGCCTTGCCAACATAGTGAAAACCCCTGTCTCTACTAAAACTCCAAAAATTAGCCAGGCATGGTGGTTGGCCTGTAGTCCCAGCTACTTTGGAGGCTGAGGCAAGAGAATCGCTTGAAGCCAGGAGGTGGACGTTGCAGTAAGCCAAGATTGTGCCATTGCTCTCCACCTAGCCCGGGCAACAAGAGCGACACTCCATCTCAAAAAAAAAAAAAAAAAAAAAAAAAAAAAAAAAAAAATACCCGGTGAAAAAAAAAAAAAAAAAAAAAGGAAACAATGAAAAATATCCAGTGTAGATGAAAACATGAAAAAAATGGAAATTCTCATAAATTTCTAGTTTTAAAATGAAGCAGTCATTTTGCAAAGCTGTTTGGCCGGTCCTCAAAATATTACACATGAAGTTACCATACACTGCAGCAATTTGACTCCTAAGTATATACCCAAGTGGAATACAAATATCTGTCTTTATAATCACTGACACATCAATGTTCATGTTTGCATTGTTGATAATAGTCAAAATGTGGAAACAATCTAAATGTCCATCAACTGATGAACCAATAAACATAGATGTGATATATCCATATCATATTTCATTATTGTTATAGCTCATAAAAAGGAATTAAATATTGATACATGCTACAAAACGAACTAACTTCAGAATAACATAATAAAGGAAAAAAGAAAGTCACAAAAGACTACCTATTTAATCATTCCATTTATATAAAGTCTCCAGAACAGGCAAATCCAAAGAGACAGAAGGTAGATTACTGGTTACCAGAAAACCGGGAGTAGGGAGGAATGGGAGTGACTGCTCTTGGGTGTGAGGTTCCTTTGGGGGTTGATAAAAATATTATACAATTGGATAGTGATGATGGTTGCACAACTCCATAAATATTCTAAAAACCTCTGAATTGTACACTTTATATGGTCAATTTCATGCTATGTGAATTATATATCAACAAGCTTTTCATTACAAAAAGAAAAATGGAAATAGCTTTAAAGGAGATAATAATTTGTATTTCATCCAAAGCACAGGTCTTAACTTCTTTGCCCAAAATTCTGGCAGAAAATAACAAATAATAAAAAATAAGTATAATCTTCACAGGAATTTTTAAAGGTTTATTCCACTTCACTTTATTGTTCTGTTACAATGCCTTCATCAAAATGCAGGAATTCATAAAGCTTGCCTGATAGAGGGCAGTTGAATAAAATTCACAGTTCAAAGTATGACAGGAGCACAAACTGTTAAAATAACATTCAGATTTATCAGATTATCTCTTTAATTTAACTGTTATAGAAATAAATTTATTTTCACACAAAACAAAATTTATTCTCATTATCATTCTATTGCAAAAAGGAAAAGGAATAAACAATCGGACAAGCTAAAAAATCAGCAAAGCAACTGAAATTACTTTAAGGATAACATGTTCTAAATGTCTATTGTAATAAACAAAACAAAAAAATTCAATATGACTATATTAGAGTGTCTCTTCCCTTTCATGGTAAATTATATGGAATATGTTTTCAGATTTCCATTACATTTTTAAAGCTTTAAGGAAAGAGCTCTTCTTTGTTGTTCTGCAATACCATTAAAATAGATTACTTATGTTAATTGATGCATATTAAACAGTGACAACCGTTTTTTTTTTTTTTCCTACTAAAGTGTACATCTTTGTACATTAAAAACAAGGATATATAAACTAGAAGTTAGAGACCAGAGGCCCAACTTGGGACCTGACAGGATGGCTGGACTGCCCCGCAGGATCATCAAGGAAACCCAGTGTTTGCTGGCAGAACCAGTTCCTGGCATCAAAGCAGAACCATATGAGAGCAACACCCATTATTTTCATGTGGTCATTGCCGGCCCCTGGGATTCCCCCTTTGAGAGAAGGACTTTCAAACTTGAACTATTTCTTCCAGAAGAATACCCAATGGCAGCCCCTAAAGTGCGCTTCACGACCAAAGCTTGTCATCCTAATGTAGACAAGTTGGGGAGAATATGTTTAGATATTTTGAAAGGTAAGTGTTCCCCAGCCCTGCAGATCCACACAGTTCTGCTATCGATCCAGGCCTTGTTAAATGCTCCCAATCCAGATGATTCATTAGCAAATTATATAGAGGAGCAGTGGAAGACCAACGAAGCCCAAGCCATAGAAACTGGTAGAGCAGGGACTAGGCTATCTGCCATTAATAATATTAAAATTGATCCGATCATCAAGTATGCATCACTTCTCTTGTTCTGCCAAGACTTCTTTCTTTCGGTTTGCATTTAATGGGCCCAGTCTTAGAAACATTACAGAATAAAAGCCCAGACTTCTTCAGTCATTTGGTGATTAAATGCACGTTAGCAAATCTATGTCTTGTCCTGATTCACTGTTGTAAGGTATGAGCAGAGGCCAGAAGTGTCATCTGGACTGTTGGGAAACGTTTAAAACAGTGGCCCCTCTCTGCTTTTATTCATTTCCCCAATCCTGGTTTAAGTGTAAAGCACTGTGAATTAAGGTAGTTGTCAGGTTAGCTGCAGGGGCATGGGTGTTCTTCATTTTATTTTGTTTTATTTTTTGAAGGGGGAGGTGGTTTTATTTTAATTTATGAGCTCCTTTCCCACTTTTTTGGTGATCTAATTGCATTGGTTAAAAACAGCTAACCAGTTCTTTAGAATATGTTCCCTAGCCAGGTCTAACTTTATTTAGATGCTGAAGATGGACAAACTTGATTGTTTGAACCAGAATGGGAAAGTTAAACAAACATCACAGCTCTCAATAATAACACTATGACTTTGCTGTCAAGTATAGATGACCCCTTTCAAAAAAAGTTTGTGACCATTTTGTATGGCTTGTCTGGAAACTTCTGTAAATCTTATATTCGAGTAAAATAGTTTTTGTTATTCTAAAAAATAAGTGAAAATAAAAATAAACTAAAAACTAAATTCCACCAGAATAATATAGATCTTAGACTGATTCCTTCTGGTGTTGAATATTTAAGGGAATTACATAAAATCTTGAACATAAAACACTTAATAAAATGAATTTCTATACTCATTTTCATAAAAATAAAATATAAACATCAACTTCATCCAGTTTTTAATGTATAGTCTCTCAAAAATATACTTCTCAAAAATTTTGGCTTATAATGGGTACATGTTATAAATCAATGTACATGCAGTATATTTCTTCACATTGTATATTATTATTATTGATAATTTATGATACTACTCAGCAGTAAAGTTCTAGGATGAAAGAAAAACTTCTTAAGTAGTAACTATAAATTATAATAATCTTTATTCATCTGAATATATATCAATTTTTTAAAAAACAACAAAACCAAACATCTTTCTAATTTATCTCAAAGTGTGGTTAATCTGAATTCCATCAAATCACTGGCATTTCAGTAATCGCGTGTTTAGTTTCCTGTATTTTTAAGATAAATACACAATTAGTGTTATCGAATTAATTAACATTAATTTTGTGTTTAACTGTTTCCAACTAAACAGTTTGGAAACATCTTTTTGGTAATATCTTTTCACCCTCCCAGAAACCTTTCTGATGCTGGTAACGTGATTGTATTTCTTTTTCTGAACATGGAAGTAGAGGCTGAAGCAAGGTCCTTTTTCCTTGACTCGGCTTCCCTGCTTTCAAGCATCAGGGTTTATGCCTGAGGATTCTCCTTGGGCTCTGGAACGGTCAAGTGTTGCTTTCACATGCAACAAGGACTTATTTAAGAACTATAACTTCCATATTAGAACTCTTTATTAGAATATCATACAGCAGATAATTCAGGCAGCTCTTTTGGTTAAAGGTAACTGGAAAAGTATCATAGTCACAGCACTTGACAACATCCTTGCTGTTTTAGATGAGCTTTGTGATCTGTTACGTTGGAACTATCTCTAGACCTGTTTATATGAGAGATCAGCAGAGCTTAAAGGTGATGTGAGGTATTGAAAACTTATTGGTGGACCACAAAACCACTGCAAGTTTGGAAGGTTCCAGATTAATATTCTACCATTATTTGTTTTTTGTTGTTGTTGTTTGTTTTGAGATGGAGTCTCGCAGTGCTTCCGGGGCTAGAGTGCAATGGCGCAATCTCGGCTCACTGCAACCTCCGCCTCCCAGGTTCATGCAATTCTCTTGCCTCAGCCTCCCGAGTAGCAGGGATTACAAGCACACACCACCACACCCGGCTAATTTTTTTTGTATTTTTAGTGGAGATGGGGTTTTACTATGTTGGCCAGACTAGTTTTGAACTCCTGATCTCGTCATCCGCCTGCCTTGGCCTCCCAAAGTGCTGGGATTACAGGCGTGAGCCACTGTGTCCTGCCAATATTCTACTTTTATAATAAGTATTTATAGATATTATTTCCCTGGTATTTTTTAAAGTTTCATAATAAAAGACAAAAGAATTTTTGAGACACATTTTGAGTATCATTTCATGTCTTCAGCTAATACTGAATAAAAATTTAAAAACTAGTATTTATCATTTTGTGGAGCATTATGGGTATTGCCAATCAAGGCTTAAAAGTCTGGAGTATAGTAAATTTACATTAACCTTAGGAGCAATGTTAATGAGACACATACATATTTTTCTCTCAAAAGATTAAGTTTCTTTGGAAGAATACATATGTGCAGTAAGTTTTATATAGTATAGCTTAATTCATGAGGACATTATTTGGTTTATTTGTAGATGTACAAAATGATAAACCTACCTGCATTATTAATAGGTCCATTAAAAAATTAACACAATTCCTACCTTAATTTCCGACACATGACAGAACTGAGATATTCTAAAAACTAGAAGTAAATGAGATTAATTAAGCCATATTCAATGCCAGATAGAACTATATTTACATGAACTTTTTTTACATGGCTTAAAACAATTTTTCCAACACAGACTGTATGCAGAAATTCAAATAAGGAGAAGATTACATTATTGGCTACATGGAGTTATCAGTACCACCTCAGAAAAACAGGTCTGTCTAGGGGCTTTATGAAGGCATTCATTATCTTGGTAAATGTATCAAAAGTATGCCTGAGCCATGCAACTTCTGAAACCCGATGTGTCAGCAGATCTCAGCAAAAGACTCAAGTTAATCACGAATGAAGGCAAATATATGGAAATGAAACTGCTTCCACCCTCGTAAGCAACCTTTTTCATCCTTGTAGGAAGACCAACATGGGAAGGAAGTAACCAGCATATCTGTGAGTTAATATAGAAACAAATGCCAGCGAGATCAAAATACGTGATGCCTATGTGAACACTCTCCCTCCCCACTACTTCTATTTTCTGTTTACACTTAAATTTATATAAAGAAAAGACACGCCTCTCTGCTTACACTCAGGTATGCCATCTTACAGGTTTGGGGACCACCACCACTCTTTCAAAGTGCTTTGCACATTCCTGCTAGGATTCATGGGGTATTCATTTTATAACTGAAATCTCAGAAGCTAATTCTAATTCCTTGAGGGAAACCCTAAGAAAAATACACAAGTGATGTTACCTAACTAAATAGCATTAATTTTGTGCTTAACTGTTTACAGACTAAAAAGGTGATATTCTTTCATCCTCCCAGCAACTTCTGAATGCTGGTAGTATTATTATATTCACTTTTTTTGGACAAGAAGATAGTCAAAGTCTGAGTCAAAGTCTCTTTTCACTGACTCTACTCAGTGAAATCTGAGTGTAATCAGACAGACATATCTTTTTCTCTTACAATAAATTTAATTGTAAGAGAAAAATATCAAGGTTGGGGGAGGGGAGGAGGACAATTATTCACACAGACGTGTAGTGTTTTGATCTCTCTGGTATTTGTTTCTATTTGTTAACTCAAAAACAGGCTGGTTATTTTTTCCCATGTTGATCTTACTACAAGGATGTCAGTGTTCATGTACTGAGTATGTACTTAAGGAGGCCTATCATAAGTCTCTTCAATTCATCTATGTTTGGCAATTAGTCAGGTAACATCTGAAGGTGACAAGGCACTACTATTTTAATTCCAGTAGAAGGAATACAATTATTATATATCTTATATAAAATGACAAATAAAAATATGTCAATATGGTGATTACAAATGAAATTATTTATTTACATTCCTAAACTTACACTGAGATGGACAGAACTACTTTTTTAGTTTGTATTTATATAGATCTATACAGATTTGTCAGATACAGAAAATATAAAAACGGGAAACTGGTTCAATTAAACATTTTTTCTGAAATTCAGATTTAACTAATGAACTGTTTTTAATCTGTCAACCAGATCTATATAAAAATGTGTCAGAAAACTATTTTTTGATAAATGGCAAAAACTATGTAGTTTTTGATATTATCTTTAGTAATACAGAATGTGGAAATATGACCTTTGGTAATATAAAGTGAGGAAAAAGAATATTACAAAGTCTCTCATAAGCTATAACCACCACCAAAACACATGCTGTCAAATTATCTAATTCATATCTTCTACCAACAGGTTTCAAGTTAAAATGAATGCAGATGAATTGCTGCTTTTTACAGTTATATAAGGCTTATCTCATTTTTTTTTGACAGGGTCTGCACATAACAAAGGTCTTAATGGAAGTTGAAATTGTCTTCAATTATACCAGATGTCTAAAGGTGGGTCAGCCTAGCTTTTTAAGCTCTTAAAATGTCTCTGATTTTTGTCAAGGTTACCAAATTAACAGAACTCTAGGACTTTTTGTCCTTACGTAAAAGTTAAATCTTGGAAGCTCACACTACATACATTTTGATTTTTTTTTTTTTTTTTTTTTAGATTTCCCATATTAGGTTTGGAGATAAACTCACAACTTTATAAGAAGGGCTCTGAAGATAAGGCAAGGACTGAAGCTGAGGTCCCTTGCAGTCATGAGTGCTAAGGGAGTATGGTCTCTGATTTCAGAAATGGAAGGAAAGTTTATTTTCATCTATGATTCATTAATTTATTTAGCAAATATTAATTATTAATTAAGTATCCTGACAGAGCAGAAGCATCGCCATCTTGGATAAGAACCATGATTTTAAAGTTCCCCTTGATCAAAAAACTGCCTAATCCAACCAAAAGGGCATCAGCCTAATGGCTAATGTCAGCATGACTGTGAACCACAAGTGACATCTCCAACCAGAAACACTCCAATTTTAAGATAAACGCTTCCCCAACCAGAGACATGACAGTCCCGAGATAACCTCCCCTCTGACCAGGGAGATGTCAGCCCCGAGATAACCTCCCCCTTGACCACAGACATTCCAACCCCACAATAAACTTCTCCTCCACACAGAAAAATTGCAAGCCTGTGATAAGCTCTCGCCCTAAACTCTTAAATACTTAAATACTCTTAGTCTTTTTGGTGGGGGGATGGAGTCTCGCTCTGTCCTCCAGGCTGGAGTACAGTGGCGTGATCTCAGTTCAGTGCAAGCTCCGCCTCCTGGGTTCATGCCATTCTCCTGCTTCAGCCTCCCGAGTAGTTGGGACTATAGGTGCCCGCCACCATGCCCGGCTAATTTTTTGTATTTTTATAGAGACAGGGTTTCACTGTGTTAGCCAGGATGGTCTCTATCTCCTAACCTCGTGATCCGCCTGCCTCGGCCTCCAAAAGTGCTGGGATTACAGGCGTGAGCCACCGCGCCTGGCCTAATAGTCTTTAAGGGAGCGTGCTCCTGACTGACATTGGCCAGAAGCCCCTCTCAGGTTTATTCTCCAAAATAAACCTATCTTTGACTGCTGAGTCACTTTGCATGTTTTTCCTCTTTCTTGAACTCTTAACATCCTATTATTGTATATTCTAGGCATTGGGGAAATAGCAGTGACAAAAACAAGCACCTATGTCTGCCTTTATGGAACTTATAGTCTTACATGGGGACACAGGCCATACATTTGCAGTTTTAACTTGAATAAAAATTGCTTTGTGAGAAAAAAATTCTCTATGATTCTTTTTGTGCTATGCATCTATCTATCCATCAATTCATCTATCTAGCAAGCCTGTCTTACTCTGTCCATTAGTTGAGCATTCTTATTGTATCTTTTTTGGTCCACTTTGATAGGGATAGATAGGTAGAAGACAGATTCCTCTACACACTCTTTGATTAAAGTTCTGAATCTTTTGTAAATTACAATGGATCAAATAGTTCAATAAATATTTATCTTCCCAACCCATGCCATTCTGCTACTGACACTCAGTGTTAAGGGAAGAAACGTTATCTTTTTTCAAATGTTAGTAGGTTCATGCTCTTGGAATTCA